CCTGTGAATGACTGTCCCAGAATCAGACAGAGGATTGCAATCATGTGACGGTTTGCGGGCTTGGCGCCAGCTCTACATTACCACCTTATAGGCCACAAACACCCCTATAAGAGCTAGAGAGGTGGTAGCTTTTAGTTGCTGGATGTGCCAGCCCGATTTCGACAAATCCTCTTTCGCTCGCCACCGTCATTGGTGGCTGACCCCATCTAGTTCCGATGAGCAGGTAATTGGCCGAGTGGTTTCCACATGCTTGTGTTCCGGGTAAAAAAAAACATTTTGACGAAATCTGCACTTGCATGACCTCCACTTCACCTACTGACTTCCACATCTAAACCATTTTTTTAAACTATGAGTATCTTCTATTCTAAAGGATGTTCAATACGTGGCTCTGCGTTACCTGACGGGTGAGTGCAATTACGGCGGCAGAGTCACCGACAGCTGGGACCGCCGAACTCTGATTACAATCTTGGAGAGGTTCTACTGTCCTCCACTCGTTGAAGACGACACCTACCGCTTCGACGAGAGTGGACTCTATTATGCTCCTCCGGAGACGACGGTATGTTGCTAGTTCTTCTATTCATGATGTCCGTCCTGATATCAGCTGAGAAGTAACCAATCATATGAACGGTCTGTTTCCTTGAGGCCTGGGGCATGAGTTTTACTCAGAAAAGGAGTAGAATCCTACTCTGGGTCCCAGATCAGCACGCGAAGGCCCCCATCCTTCTGTAATACAGGCCCAGGTGTAATAAAGAGTATACAGTCTGGCCAATACAGAGGAAAGGAAATATAAATAAAAAATGAAGTTTACGAAAGTTGAAAAACAGGAATCATTATTTAAATAATCTTATGTTTGTCAACAAAAAAGTGCGTCAAAATTAAAATGACCAATTCTGGAAATATTGGGAGGCAAGGGTTTCCTTGGTAGCGCACGAATGTTCTTATTTATATTTACATGCCTACTCAATGAATTTCTGTTAGGGTTAGGGTAAGGGTTAGGGTTGGGGTAAGTGTTAGGGTTAGGGTGGGATAGTGGTATCCTATGTAAAATGCCCCAAATTTCTGTTTTACGGGAAGCGTGGGATTAGGTATGTAAATATAAACAAGAACATTTGTGCACTACCAAGGAAACCCCTGCCTATTGGGAAATAACTAAATTAAAAACCAACTATTAGGAGGTTTGGCAGATTTGCTTAATTTGAGTTGACCCGCCGAACCGCCGAACGCCTCGAGTTTTTTCGCAGCTGGGTCAACTCAAAATAAAAATCAACTGACTTAAAAAACGTTAGATAAACTCACTTACCTAAAAATAATGTAAAACTAAAATAGAAACAGTAACATAATAATGAACTGAAAAATAAACTGAAAACTCAAATATAAATAAGTCAAATAACCCCAACAAAATAAACTAACGTAAAATCGTTGCGCATGTAAATCGAAGGTGTGTGCGGCGCTTCGCGCCGCGTACTATACTAATCGAACTCCAGAACGATAAGTCGGACCTCATGTTAGTTGAAGTAGACGACGTCCTAACCAGGAAACGTTTTTCAGGAATATCAAGAAATCCAATAATCCAGAAAGTATAAATAAGTGAAAAATGTCCAAATTTGTCACACCCAATAAATTATGAGTAAGAAATGTAAGTAAATTTCCGTGTTTATTTCTGGCACGCTATTTTGTTGCGAAAACTTTCGATTGTTTAAATAATTTCTGGGACCCAAAGTTGGATTCCACAAAAAAAGGATATTCCCCACGAATGGCATCAAGGACTGCTTGAAGATTACGTACCCGTATTTCAGGGACACAGGGGTTTAATTGCTGAGGGCCTCAGGAGAATTAGATCATTACAAGGCAGCTTTCTTATTCCAAAAGCTCCCACTTTAAAGGACCAGCTCCACAGTGCCTAACGCATTCCATATAGGATGTAATACGAATATGTGGGCATCGCCCATCTGGTAATGGAATAATAAAGTTCCGTTTTTGCCCTAGAGCTCACACTAGGGCCCGCGCAGGCAGTTATATATCGACTCGTAAGGTAGGATGAAATGGATCCAACCAAACAAAGGGAGACAGGAATGACCATTTCTGGCTTGTTAGCCATCATCAGCCAGTCATACCAGATCTCAAGGGTCGGAACACCCAAGACTCGAACCCGGGACCTTTGGTCATTGAGGTTACCATTGCATTTACCATTGTTATATGCTTAGAACTTAGCTTTTAGTGGAGCCTAAGTGCGTGTGTTCATTCCTGTCCCTTTTTTTTCAGTACGAAGGATACATTGAGTACATCAAAACGCTGCCCCTTAACCCGTCGCCGGAAATTTTCGGTATGCATCCGAATGCAGACATCACGAAGGATAACCAGGAGACCAACTTGCTCTTCAATAGTCTCCTTCTGACACAGGTGAAACTTCAAATTTGTTCATCTCAATCTTATATTTTTCACCTTTGTTCCTCTCAGTTTCGGCTTATTCCTTGCTGTAGGTAGGCACCATGTTGGTACAGATTCTGTTGTAGTGTTCTGGCGCAGTTATCTGCTCGATCACCCTCGCTTTTGGGAGCTACTGGCAGCCTAACTCTGCAAAGCCTTCATGAACTTCTATTGATAATATGATCAGAAAGGAGAAGTGATATGTGACATTTCCGAAAAAAGCACCCGAATCTTGGGGGAAATGTTCACATAGGCTACATTTTCCACTGTTATGATAGATTCTCATCGTGTTTTAAGTACACGAGTAAAATGGCCTCACAAATCCCCCTAGCAGATAACTAACCCTTAGTGCACAGTATGAAACCTAAGGTTTTTTACTAAAGTCGTAGGAGTAGAGCTATTTCTTATTGATAAAGTGGAACCGACTAGGACAAGGGTGACCAAAATGGCCATTTCTGACTTATTAGCCGTCATCAGTCAGTCATACCAAATCCTGGGTGTGGATCATACGAGATTCGAACGCGCAACCTTCGATCATCGAGGGTACCATTCTACCATTACGCAACGCATCCTTTGTTTTTATCGGTTGCGATCGAGAACATAATTATAGTATGGTTGTCACCGATCTGGTCAAGGAACATATTTGTTCAGTTGGCCTACGCACCCTTTCTTTAAGTATAGAATTTAAATATGGCGTAATTTGCTATCAAGACGAGCACAAGAAAAATTTTTCCTTTATGTTTTCCATAAAATATATTTGCGTTTATAAGGCAGTCAAAATCAATGATAACAATCCATACCAATTAAGTAGGCATGTTTACAGTACATACTTTTTCTTAGGGGTCAGAAAAAGCTCGTCAAATAGCCGGCATCATATCGCAAATCAAATGAATTGAGAATAAGCTACAGGATAATCAGTATTACAACCTTACTCAATGCCGATTGGCGATCGAGTATCAATCTTTCGCAAATTTTGGCATATTGCACGAATTGTAAGTCGTACCGTAGGTTGTGGCGCTTTTACATACCAAAATGTGCTGACCTTATGTGAACCTGCCCGTCAGACCTCATTAATATTTTGAACTCGCATGTTTTTGTCAGGCAAAAGGCGGGTCCGCCGCGGGAGCCTCCGAGGACGAGGTCGTTGACGGTGTTGCAGCTGGCATTCTAAGTCGCCTTCCAGACGACTTCAACCTAGAGTTGGCTCTGCGAAAATTCCCGGTGAAGTACGAGCAGAGTATGAACACCGTGTTGGTCCAGGAGATGACCCGGTTCAACAACCTCCTCAGAACCATACGCAATAGCCTGAATGATCTACGAAAGGCTATCAAGGGTCTGGTGGTTATGTCTCCTGATCTGGAGAATGTCGTGCGATCCATCCTCGAGTTCAAAATTCCGGCAATGTGGATGGGCAAGTCTTATCCCTCCCTGAAACCACTCGGATCCTATGTTAATGATTTTCTCCTGCGGCTCAAATTCTTACAGGTGTGCTTCTCTACTTGTCTTTGAGGATTTCCTTCCGGGCACGTTAACCTATAAGAGAGTTCTCATCGTAGGACAATAATTTTCATTATCCCTGAGTGTACCTCTTTGCTTTTGCTTTGCTTATATTTTCGGGCGTTGTAGATTGGCTGGCTACTATTACCGATGATACTACTAATTTTTTGCTATTACTGTTACAACCAGGGCTACTTCCACTACGTGGTACCAATACTACTGTTAGAATGGTTTGCACCTTCAAGGTTGGTATAGCTATCAATATTTGTTATCATAATGGCAGGCACTGGTGGGGTACTGATACTGGAACGACTACTGCCTTTATCAGTGGTAATTTGAAACACTGTTTTAGCGAAATTAATTTGAACAAAGTGAAGTAGGTAGAATTTAATGACGTCAAAAAGGTCGTGGCCTATTTTTCAACTGCGAACACAGCAGGCTGAAGGTACGCGTGGTGACTTGCGCGTAAACCAGTTTTAAGTCTGCTACTACTTCTACTTTTATTATTATTACTACCATTGTTTCAATGATAATGATTAAGACTAATCATAACGTCACTATTAGCCACTATATGACGATGTTAGCTACATTGTCTTGACACCGGACTCATGTGGTGGAGTGGAACAGGAAGTGAGTTAGATGCAGCACAAGCCGTAGCCCCTGCACCATCCTGCTGCGGAACACATGGTGGAACTTGTTATTTCAAACCCGACTTGTAGGCAGAATAAGGCAAGAGAGCGTTTCTCACAGGCAAGGGTTGTGTTTAACAGCACAAAAAGACAGCGGGGTTTGCGGGGTCCTCTAGCTTGGCCACTCCGGCATATCTATAGGGTTCCGGTCTCTCTACAATATTCCTTGCGCAAGGTTTGCGCCTGGGAATTCTGGAACCGTATTGACTACGGCCACTGCCCAAGCTATATGGGAGGCTGTCTCTTTTGCTCGACGCCCGACGTGGGCGGCTTGACTGGGGGCACGACCCTGCTGGCCTGTTCTTTCCGTCAACGCCCGTAAGTGCATGGGGGGTCCCACATCCGTAGCAGATCTCGTCAAAATCGACGGCCGGACTGCCATGTTACTAACCATTACATAACTTAATGGTATTAGAATCATAGAATGAAACCAGTATTATTACTGTCATCAACAAAAAAAACCAGTAAAAACTAAAATTATCCTTACTACTGTTGCTTTCCTGTATGCTATAATTGTGGTTATTATTATTATTATTATCGGTAGTTGAACTGTTATCTATGCCGACAGTATTTGTTTTTATTAGTTCTCCTGTTAATAATAGTATTAATATTCCTAGCGCTTTGGCAGCTCCACCGCTATCGCTCCTAATACTATTGCTATGTGTAGTACCCCGAGTGCCACAACTAGTTGTGTTGTGACGCTATTACCATTATCTCTTTTATTACTATAAACAAAATCATAATTACTACTAATATTTCTAGCCCTGCCACAACTGCTATTGTTGTGCCAATGCTGATATTTTTATTTCTGATTTTGTTAGTAGTTTTAGTGACATTAGCTTGCCACTGCAGCCGTAAAGGCATTTTATCCCTGTCAATACTTTAACCACTGTGACCATTACTAATACTGTTGGTACTTCAGGACCTTACTCACCCACTTCGCCTTTTTGTCTCTCGCTCCATAGGACTGGTACGAGGCCGATGCGCCGCCCAATTTCTGGGTCTCCGGTTTCTTCTTCACACAGGCCTTCTTGACGGGTGTTCAGCAGAACTATGCTCGAAAGTACGCCATCCCAATCGATCTGTTGACCTTTGCATTCGAAGTCATGGATGATAAGGAGTACATGGAGGCTCCCGAGGATGGTAAGTACACATTGGGGCTTTATTACATGTGTGTTTTTCACTCACAATTTGCAAATTAGGCTACTGTATCCACACCTATTAGGTTTGTAATCCAGATGCCCATGTTATCCAGCTCGACGATGCCCTGAGTCGTCACCAGACCACTGTCCAGTTAACGCCAATAGTTACAGATACACGTATACCGATCTGTTAGAGGACACACTCGTCCGTTCATGGTGCCGATGGAGCTCACACTCGAGCGTACACCGCAAGGCGGCTAATGATATAGACAGAAGGGCATTAGCAACAAAGAAAAAGGATAATAAGACGGCCATTTCTGGCCTATTAGCTGTCGTCAGCTAGTCATATCCAGACCCAAGTGGCGTGGCATCCGAGCCTCGCACTCGCGACCTCTCTAATCACAGTCAAACGCCCTAACGATTAAGCTACAAGCTCGCTGTCTTACCGGTAGTTGATCGGGGATATACAGTAGCAGCTACGCGTACACTAATCTGTTAGAGGACACACACTTTGATAGTGTTCAGACGATATTGTTTTCTGGACCCAGTGGAATGATAAACTGACTCGAGATTACGATATTGGCGGCTGAGGAGGGCAAATGAACCAGAAATTGGCATTCCACTGACCCTATCTTGGCCAGTGAACACTGTTCAATTATTCAGTGCCAGTTGTCACGAGACTGTTGCCATGCTGTTGGGCTATAGACCCT